TGTGCATGTGTGTGTGCCTACGTGTGTGTGTGCATGTGTGTGTGCCTGCCTGTGTGTTTGCATGTGTGTGTGCATATGTGTGTGCCTGTGTGTGTGTGTGTGTGGTGTGCGTGTGTGCATGTGTGTGCCTGCGTGTGTGTGTGTGTGGTGTGCGTGTGTGCATGTGTGCGTGTGTGTGTGTGCGTGTGTGTGCATGTGTGTGTGCCTGCGTGTGCGTACCGGAACACCTCCAGCGGCGCCAGGACGGTTGCTAAGATATCAGAGAGTCCCGGGAAGTCACAGGCGGTCGTCAAGGAGATGGTGAGCGTCCAGGAAAACCTCAACAACACATCCTCTACTATAGCACTGTAGTAGTAGGCCTGGTCGAGAGACATAGAGACACATAGGGAGACATGGTGAGAGAGTGTGATACTTCTGACAGTACACTGTCTCCTCTCTGAGGAAGGTGTGTGTGTGTGTGTGTGTGTGTGTGTGTGTGGTGTGTGTGTGTGTGTGTGTGTGTGTGTGTGTGTGTGTGTGTGTGTGTGTGTGTGTGTGTGTGTGTGCCTTCTGAGGGTACAATATCTCCTCGCTCACAAAGTGTGTGTGTGTACCTTCTGAGGGTACACTATCTCCTCGCTCAGCAAGGTGTGTGTGTGTGTGTACCTTCTGAGGGTACACTATCTCCTCGCTCAGCAAGTTGTGTGTGTGTGTGTATACCTTCTGAGGGTACACTATCTCCTCTCTCAGGAAGGTGTTCTCCCCGGCGCTGCGGTCGAACAGACCCCAGTCCATTTTCAGGTCCCAGATCAGCGTGTAGCAGGAGCTCACCACCGAGCAGCTGATCAGGAGGTAGAGGAAGACCTGGGCCTCGGCCGGCTGCTGGGCTGGAGAGAGAGGAGGCGGGGTTAAGGAGAGAGGAGGCGGGGTTAAGGAGAGAGGAGGTGGGTCTTAGGAGAGGGAGGCGGGTTAAGGAGAGAGGTGTGTGTGTAAATGTGTGTTACCTTTGTGCGTGCTGTACAGAGCGGAGAAGATGACCACGAAGAAGGTGGTGGAGTACTTCCCGGCGTTCACCAGGTGAGGGAAGGCCCTCTTGGTGTCGCGGTAACGCCGGAGACACTGGATGAAGCGGAACCAGGCGGGGAGGCACTGGATGACCGCGCGCACGCCGTACGAGTACGAGTGGCACGGCATCCGACCCGGCTCAACTGGGAAAACAACATGTAAACAACAACGTGTAAACAACATGTTAACAACGTGTAAACAACATGTTAACACCGTGTAAACAACATGTTAACAACGTGTAAACAACATGTTAACGTGTAAACCACATGTAAACAACAACATGCACACATCAACGTGTAAACATGTTAACGTGTAAACAACATGTTAACAATGTGTAAACCACATGTAAACAACAACATGCACACATCAACTTGTAAACATGTTAACAATGTGTAAACAACATGTTAACGGGTAAACCACATGTAAAAAAACAACATGCAAACATCAATGTGTAAACAACATGTTAACATGTTAACAACTTGTAAACCACATGTAAACAACAACATGCAAACATCAATGTGTAAACAACATGTTAACAACATGTAAACCACATGTAAACAACATGCAAACATCAACGTGTAAACATGTAAACCACATGTAAACAACAACATGCAAAAATCAACATGTAAACAACATGTTAACATCGTGTAAACAACATGTTAACAATGTGTAAACAACATGTTAACAACGTGTATACCACATGCTAACAATGTGTAAACCACATGTAAATAGCATGTAAACAACAACAACAACAACAACAGGAGTGTTGTGGTTCTTACCGGGCCGGACCAGGCCATCATGGCGGCGCCAGTCCAGCTCAAAGCTGTAGAAGCAGATCATGTACTCCAAGTCCATCAGCACCACCACCAGAGAGTTCAGCTGGTCGGCCAGCCAGAAGTCTGCAAACTCCACCCGGTGGAACGGAGCCGTCACCACGCGGAACTACATGAAGACATACATGAAGACATGAATACATACATGAAGACATACATGAATACATACATGAATACATACATGAAGACATACATGAAGACATACATGAAGACATACATGAAGACATGAATACATACATGAAGACATACATGAAGACATGAATACATACATGAAGACATGAATACATACATGAAGACATACATGAAGACATACATGAAGACATGAATACATACATGAAGACATACATGAAGACATGAATACATACATGAAGACATACATGAAGACATACATGAAGACATGAATACATACATGAAGACATACATGAAGACATACATGAAGACATGAATACATACATGAAGACATACATGAAGACATGAAGACATACATGAAGACATACATGAAGACATACATGAAGACATAAATACATACATGAAGACATACATGAAGACATGAATACATACATGAAGACATACATGAAGACATGAATACATACATGAAGACATACATGAAGACATGAATACATACATGAAGACATACATGAAGACATGAATACATACATGAAGACATACATGAAGACATGAATACATACATGAATA